AGGCTCTGTTTGCTAAAGAAATGGAGGGAAATGTTTCCAGTTCTCTTTAATTGAAATGATCTCATATGCAAACAGCAAAAAATTACGCCTCGGATGCGCCTCTGCAGAATTGAGGGGTAATGACCCCAGCTTAAGATAGAAGGCGACGATCCGTTTCATTGTCTAAAGCCGTAAGCATCTGTCATGTGTGGAAGGTTCGCTGCGGGAGCTGCCAGAGCAGGGAGAGGGGCTCCCTTCCTCCTTCCTTCCCTCTGCCTGTGCTCCATTGCCTCTCTTTTGTCAGAGAGGAAAAAGGCCAAAAGTGGGTGGGGCGGGAAGAGGCGGGGGGCATGTCCTGAGGATGCCCTGGCCCCACTCCAAGGGGGGCCTGGGTGGCTCAGGCGGTTGAGCATCTGACAGCTCAGGTCATGATCTCGTGGTTGACGAGTTCGAGCCCCACATCGGGCTCTGTGCTGACAGCTCGGAGCCTGGAGCCCGCTTCAGATTCTGTGTCTCCCTCTCTTTCTGCCCCTCCCCCGCTCATGCTCTGTCTCTGTCTCAGAAATAAATATAAACATAAAAAACAAAAAAAAAAAAAAAGAAGGAAGGAAATCCCTGCCGACCCCAGGCCCTTGCCTCCTGCTCCTGTGGGCATGGCCCACTCAGCAGCTCCGCCTCCAGAGGGGTTGAGTGTGTGTGGCATGAAGTCACCTGTGTCCCAAAGTGGAGGGCACTGTGGTTCCTCGTGTCCGGTGGGGATGCTTAGACGGGAGAGAGCTTGGCCCAGAGGGGGAGCGCAGAAGGAGACGGCATGGGCTGAAGGGACAGGTGGTCACCTTCTCAAGGGTTTGCTCCTACAGGTACCCCCTTGCCCATCAGCACCAGCAACCCTTGTCTCGCCTCGTGTGAATAAAGTTTGCTGAGAACCCAGCTTGCCCACTTGTTGGTGCGCTGCCTAACGGCCACCCTCACGCCAGTCCGCAGGGTTTGGGCGCCTACCTCTTAAGTTCTCGTGTACTTTGGAGAGCAGACAGAGAGCCCTGTAGGGGAGTCTTTCTCTTAAGGCGGGATTCTGCCTCCAGAGTGTGGGCACAAGCTTAGAGGAGGCGTGGCCACCGGGGACCATACGGCTCTCCACCCCCCAAATCTTTACTATCTGGGCCCTTCAAAGTTGGCCAACCTCCGTCTTAGACTAAACAGCCCGAGTTGGGGATGAAGACAGAGGAGCATCCAAACGAGGACAGGCTTCCGTCACATAAAGGGGGGTGGGCGGGAGAAATGACCGCCAGCACCAAGAACATCTGAAGCAACAGCCCTGTGCGACCAGGCCTCCCGGACTTCTCACTCGCCCCGTCTCGGAGCCGTCTCATTTCTCACCAGGCTCCTCCACCCAGGCCACGACTCTGCCCATCAAACACAACACCTTTTGCTCTTACCTGGAATATTCTTTTTCCCAGCTACCCCTGTTCTTGGGTCTTCCTTGTCACTCAGAGAGCTTCGCCCAGAAAGGTTCCACCCCAAACAGGACTTTCCCTTGTCCTCAGGCCTCCCTCAGTTGCTTTGTTCTCACCCTTCCGCTCTCTGAGGGCTTTTGTGTGCTCGTTGGTGGCCGTCATCCCCCGCTGGGAGACCAACAGGTTCAAATCGAGAGAGTTCAAGGCTGAGTGTATAGGTCTACCCCTTATCTACTTCCATATGGTGGGGTAAGAAAGGAAAACAGAAGGAGAAAGCGTATCACCTCAGCAGCAAGACCGCGTAGATGACTGAAGGAACGAGTGAATGAACGCGTCCCAGGACACTGGGTGAGGCTCTGGGCTTTGGCGTCAGGCTTCCTGCATTAAAACCCCAGCCGTATACTTGGTAGCTGTGTGACCTTGGGCAAGTTACTTGACCTCTGAGGGCCTCAGTTTCTTCGTCTGTAAAACGGGAGTCATACCCTTGCCTACCTCATGGCCTTGTAGGGAGGATTAAGTGAAATGACACTGCAAAATGCTGAATCCTTGAATCCTCGGGGCGCCTGGGTGGCTCAGGCGGTGAAGTATCCGACTTCGGCTCGGGTCCTGATCCCACGGTTCGTGGGTTCGAGCCCCGCATCGGGCTCTGTGCTGACAGCTCAGAGCCTGGAGCCTGCTTCGGATTCTGCGTCTCGGTCCGTCTGGCCCTCCCCTGCTCAACGCTGTCTCTCTCTCAAAAATATATAACCATGAAAAAAAATTTTTTACTTTAGAAAAGAAAAATGCTGAATCCGTGTCAACTCTTACATTTATGTCGTGGAAAGGGTTAACTAAGATGCTGCATATGCCACAGGGCGCCCGAGCATCTCAGTCACTTAAACAACCAACTTCCGGCCCAGGTCGCCATCTCAAGGTTCATGAGTTCAAGCCCCACATCAGGCTCTCTGCAGTCAGCCCACTTTGGATCCTCTGTCGCTCCCCCCCCCCCCCCCCCCCCCCCCCCCCCCCCCCCCCCCTCTCTCGGTCTCAAAAAGAAATATTTAAAATAAATTTAAGAAAATAAGATGACATGTATATTTCAAACACAGTAGACACCCAGCTCATGGTGGAGCTGTGATTTCTTACCCCCAACATCAGGTCTGCTGCCAAGTTCCGCTCTGGGCAAGACACTGGTGAGCTATGGGAGGCCGGACAAGTCAGTTAACCTCCCCACGCCTGGGGTCCTGCTCTGAAAGACGGAACCTGTTCCTGTTCCCCCACAGGGCTGCTCTGAGAACCAGACGAAGCCACATGCCCAGCCGTGCTCTGGGAGACACGGTTCACTGCCCAAAGCACAGGCTTAGGACATGTTGAGGATGAGAGTGGGTCACAGATAAGGGGGCAGACTCTGGAGTCAGGCAGACAACCTATTAGCTATGAGGCTTCAGCCAGCTTCCTCAGTGCTCGGAGCCTCAGTCTCCTCGTCGAGAGAATGGGGGCAATGACAGTCACTTCAGAGCGTCACTGAGATGATTTACTGTCACCACTATGGTTGCTGGCACAAAACAATGTTCATTCCACGGTGGCCTCTGTTTTTCCTGCCTTGCGGGATTTCATAAAAGCGAAATGTACCACACGAATGCGGATCCCGAGGGGATATGTTTATCCTTGTTCATTGCATCTGTGCAGGAACGCCACAAAGATTTAAAGCTGTGGCCCAGAGGGGATGTGAATTGAATCCATTTTTTTTTCACTGTCAGCCCAACCTCCTGTTTATAACTCCTAATCACAGCTAATTTGCTTTGTGACCTTGGGTAAATCACTCGCCCTCTCTGGGTCTTAGTTTTCCTTTCTCTAGAAGGCAGATCATAACACTTGCCCACTGTGATGGCTAATTTTATGTGCCCACTTGGCTGGGCCACAGTGCCCAGCTATTCGGTAAAACAACATTCTGGATGTTTCTGTGAGGGTGTTTTTGGGTGAGATGAACATTTAAATCAGTGGACTTCGATGAAAGCAGAATGCTCCCCATAAGATGGGTGGGCCTCATCCAATCAGTTGAAGGTCTGAATAGAACAGAGGACTGACCTCCCCTGAGCAAGAGGGAATCCTAGCGGGTGATCTTCAGACTTGAATCACAATATCAGCTCTTTCCTGGGTCTCCTGTCTGTCAGCCCATCCTGCAGCTTTTGAACTTGTCAGCCTCCCTAATCAAATGAGCCAATTCCTTAAAATAAATCTCCTCTCTCTCTCCCTATATCTATATAGTATAGGTATACATATGTACATATATACGTATATACATGCACATTCTACTGGTTCTGCTTCCTTGGAAAACCCTGACTCACACGCCCAGCCTACCCCCAGGGTCTCAGGAGACCCAGTTAGAAACTAGAGTCTTCCGGGGAGCCTGGGTGGCTCAGTCGGTTAAGCGTCCGACTTCGGCTCAGGTCATGATCTCACGGTCTGTGGGTTCGAGCCCCGCATCGGGCTCTGTGCTGGCAGCTCGGAGCCTGGAGCCTGCTTCGGACTCTGTGTCTCCCTCTCTCTCTGCCCCTTCCCCCGCTCACGCTGTCTCTCTCTGTCTCTCAAAAATCAATACATGTAAAAAAGAAAAGAAAAAGAAACTAGACTCTTCCATGCACTGGCAGATCCAAACGGGTCCCTGTGTCTCAGGGTCTGGGGCGGGGTGGGGGGCGGAATCCAAAGGGTATAAAGTTCTCTCTGGCCTCGGGCAAAGGGGTACCGCAGTCAGGGAGAGGGGCCCGGGTGAGCTTTTCCTGGGGCCTCCTGGAGCCTGGGGCAGAATGTGTCCCACCACCACCCTCTCCCAGCTTCTGGGGTGCGCTGGCGATCCACGACACACCCTGGCTTGTAGACACATCACCCCAGTCTGCCTGCGCCCTCGCTTGGCTTCTCCCTGCGTGTGCCTCTGTCGTCTTTTACGAGGACACCAGTGATACTGGATGTAGAGCCCGCCTTACACCAGTACGACGTCCTCCTAACCACCTGCGTTGGCAAAGAGCCTGTTTTCAAAAAAGGTCACGTTCTGAGGTGCTGGGTTGACATCGGTTCGGAGGGGAGGGGATCCGTTCAACCCAATACACCTGTGTTGGGAGTTTGGGGGCAGTTTAGTCCCAGGGCAAACGGAGAGCAATCCTTCACCCTGTTAAAAAGCAAACTGAAGGCCCCAAGTGGCGTCCCATAGGGTAAGACCCCAAGTCGGTAAACCGAGACTTCATACCTAAACTAACTGCAGTTTCAACCCCCCAGGAATGTAACCTTTAACCAGTCAACGTGGGAATTCCCTGGCCAGCACCAGGAAATTTATTTTAGACCCGTTCGGTGCCCTCTAGGAGGGCAACCTGCCTGGCCTCAAACCGTGGATTCTTTGCTAACCATTTCCTTTCCTCCACTCCTTCTCTGCCTCCGAAAACCTTTCGTCTTCTGTTCCCTCTACTTGCTAGATGGGCCGCTGCCGGATTCGTGAATCGATTAATGAAGCCAATTAGATCTTGAAAACGTACTCGGTCGAGTTTTTGTTATTTAACCAACTTCAGCAGCTCCGTTTATCCTGCTCTCTTCCAGGCTGGCCTGGGAACTGGTGTGAAGACCGTAGCCCTCGCTGCAGGGGGGCCCAGGGAGCCGGAAAATCGGTTGCAGCACGCGTGTCTGTGATGCTCCCCTTTCCTGAGGTGTGTGAGATTTTTTTTTTTTTTTTTGAATTACGTTAGTAAGGGGCGCCTGGGTGGCGCCGTCGGTGGAGCGTCCGACTTCAGCCAGGTCACGATCTCGCGGTCCGGGAGTTCGAGCCCCGCGTCGGGCTCTGGGCTGATGGCTCGGAGCCTGGAGCCTGTTTCCGATTCTGTGTCTCCCTCTCTCTCTGCCCCTCCCCCGTTCGTGTTCTGTCTCTCTCTGTCCCAAAAATAAATAAACGTTGAATTACGTTAGTAATCCAACTCTACTCGATAACATTTGCAAACAATAGTCATTCCAAACAGAGAGAGAGAGAGAGAGAGAGAGAGAGAGAGAGAAGCAGCTAGAGAGCCATAGTAGCCTAGGACCTGGATGCTTAAGGTAGAGCCACCCAGCATCGAGGCCCTCAGGGTGAACCCACCTGTCCATCTGCCCGTGATCTTGGGATTTCAACAAGGAGAGAGTGGGACACAGAGCATGTTTCCTAGAGCACGGGGAGAGTGGAAAATTGGACCTGGAATATTAGAAAACTTTTCATTCCTGGAGCGAACACTCCTCCTCCACGGGGGCTGGCGTGGGGGGCATTTAAGATTCCACCCCCCCCCCGCCCCATCCATCAGACACCAGATACTGTAGGCACCCAGCGCTGATCCTGTTACCTTTTACCCCGTTTATGGGGGCAAGGGGACCCGGAAGTGGGTGCTGGGCTTCAGTGTGTGCTCTCCCTTCCAGCAGCCAGTGCCCGTGTCTCTTTTCTTGAGGACTGTCCTGCCCTCCAGCTCTGCCCCTTTGCTGCGAGGCCAGAAACCTGAAATCCCTGGGATTTACATCCTGCAGCCCCTCCCTGGGCTGCACTTCGCTAGTGACTAATGGGTCCGGCATCTGAAAGTTCCAGCCGCCTTACCTCGGGGCATCACTTACACCCCCAGATGTCCCTGCCAGCTGAAGCTGCCCCTGCCCCCACTGTGATGGGACCTGAGGTCACATCCTTGCCGGCCTTCTTCAGCTTCCCTTCCTGTCGTCCCAACTGCCCGGCGGCTTCCTCGGGGGAGCACTTGCTTGGTAAATCACTCCCATGGGAAACCTCGGGTCAGGTCGGCGCCTGGGGGCTCTGGCCTAAGACGCCCCACCTCTGCAGTGTCATTTGAAGCCCACCTGCAAGACAGACCTTCTGTACCCATGATGCTGACAGCCGCCTCTGGGGTGTGATTTGAAGGACCCGGGGCCCCATAATCTCCTCCCCAAGGCCTCTCTCCCTTGTCTGAAATCTCACCATTGCAGACTCAGTCCCGTGGAATGTGTCCCTCACTCCCCTTAAAGTGGAGCTGCTTCTGGGACTACAGCTTCGTCACTGGCGTTAATACTGCTCCTTGGAGCGGGGCTCCCTGTAAATCGGAGCCTTTGCTGCCGTGGCTGTTGGTGGGGCCCCAGTCGGCCTGTTCCTCCTGCTGGAGTCGGGCTTAAACAAAATGGTGAAGGCAGAAGTCTGGGCCTCTGCCATGGCCTGCCTCACACCGCGGCTCCCTGCTCCCCACTCCCCACTCCTCTGGCCCCTTCCGCTGCCCCATCTGGAGGGCTTTTCCTGCCCCCGGCTGCAGGGAGGCCCCTCCACTCAAGGTTTGAAATAATGGTGACCAGGATAATGAAAATGATAAGGCATCATTATTTTTAGGGTGTTAGTGTTCCGGAGGATGTTTCACTTTAAGTGGGATTTTTGGAACATCAAGAATGACCATGGGGCCCAAGGGGAAGCTTAAATGGTGGAATTTAGGCACTGCGGCCTCCAGATGAAAGTAGTTTGGAGTCCTGCCCTGTACGTTTCCAATTACGGCCAGGGCATACCGGGCTGCTGGGTAGGTGAATTAGAATGGCAACTCCTGGGGACAGACAAGAGTTCCAAGGGTCCACAGCTTGGCGGGGGGGGGTGAAGACAGGCTGCATTTCAGCCCCACTTATTCCTGCTGAGTACCTTTGTGCAGTGTGCAAACCGCCCAGCCGTATAAGGAAGCCCCCCAAAACCCTGACTAGTGTTAAAAAGAAAACCACCAGCATAAGACAAAGTCACTTATGGGAGGCCTGGTCATCAAACCCAGGCTTAATACCTAACCTAACTGTAGTTTCAACCTCCCCCCGAAATGTAGGTCTTAACCAGTCAGTCGGGAAATTTCTGGGCATTGCCAATGAGGTAATCTATCACAGGGCCCTAGCTATCTCCCCCACCTCCTTCGGCCCAGATGAGGTAATCTGCATGATAAGATCCTCTCTGCTTTTCCCCCTAACAGAAAGCGACCTTGCCTGAAACAATGGCTTCTTTCTTTTGCCAGTAACTTCTGGCCCCGCTGACCTTCCTCTAAAAAGCATCCATTTTATACAACTCCTTGGAGCTCCCCTCTACTTGCTAGGTGGGACGCTGCCTGATTCATGAATCGCCTAATAAAGCCAATTAGATCTTCACATTCAAGCATTGGATGTTTTGTCCATTGAGACCAGGAACAGTAACGGCCAGCATTGAGTTTACCCTGTGCCCCCACTCTGCTCAATACACTGCGCTGTCGTATGTCCCACATCTATCTCGCGAGGTCAGTTACAATTTGCAGCGTCCCCATCTCATAGATGGGGAAGCCGAGGCTCGAAGAAGTTGCAAATCACCCCAAGTCACATGGAAAATAAATAAAAGCTCCAGGGGGTGAGCTCCCATGACTGGGCGTCACGGGAAATGCTTCCCAGAAGCATTTCAGAAGGGAGAAGGTTGGCAGAGGGCAATTCAACCTTGTCGGCAAGTCCAGTTCGCACAGAGGAGGAAGCACCTTGGCTGGGGGGCTGTGGAATGAGGCAGAGTGGGCCAGTGGGGAGGCAGAAGGTCTAAATTTGAGTTTCAAGCCTGCCTTTTATCAGCTGTGTGTCCCCGGACAAGTCACTTAACCATTCTGGGCCTCACCGTCCTCATTTGTGAAAATAAGAGGGGGGGGGGGGCAGTTGTCCAAGGACCCTTGTAGGCTCTCTCAGATTGCCACTCCTACTAACTCCCCAAGAGCGGCTGCAGAGGGGTGATGAGCGGGCTGCCCCGTCCCCAGCGCCCTGGGTTGGAGGGGGCAGAGGCCCTGCATCCTTAGCCCAGCCTGGACTCTGCGCTCCTAACCTTCCTTGTGGGCTTTTCCATCCTGACTCAGGTCCGCAGCTGCCGCCCGGAGGAGATCTAGCAGAGCCATTTATCAAACACACACAATTAAGGCCAGCGTTGGCCGAGATCTATTCCAGGAGCGGAGGAGCGGAGCAGAGCCTGGGGGTGAGGAGGGGAGGGCAGGGGAGGAGAAGGGGGAGGGCGTGAGCTCTGAGCTGTGTGGTTAAGGAAGGGCTGGAGGAGCCCTGCAGCAGGAAGCTTGGGAAGCCCTGACCCTGCCAGGGGGTCTACGCGGCGTCTTACCAGGGCACTCCAGTGCGTGTTACTCCCTTTTGCAGGTGGGGCAGGTGGGGCAGGTGACGCAAGTGACGCAAGTGACGCAAGACGGATCGTCCAATCGGACCAAGGTCCTCCAGTGAGGGCGGAGGGAGCGTTGGATCCTGGGTGGTCAAATTTAGGTCCTGTGCTTCAGACCGCGCCTGGACAACCAGATACGAAAATAGAGATTTTTGGCTGAGCGTTGGCCTGGGAGACACCGAGAGTAGATATTAGCAGAGAGAAGGAGGCCAGTTATCATGGGAAGAGTTTACCAAAGACAATTTCGAGAGCTGGTTCCGCGATTCCCCGGCTCCACGGCCAGATCAAAGGTATAAAAAAATGGAGCGGAGGGAGATCAGTTCGTGGAAATTTCTCCGGGGAGGGTATGAAACTGGTGAAGCAGGCCTTTCGCACTCATCCCGGGGGCTCCAGACCTCTCCTTAGTCCCGCCCAGAGCTGCGCCCACCCCTGCCATCCCTGGGCAGGGAGGCAGCCTTCCTGGCAGGGCCCCTCTGCCTCCTCCCCTCCTGGGAGGGCTAGGCCCCGGGAGAGGCTGAGAAACCCAGCCAGGCTTGTGGGTGCAGGTGCGTGTTCGCCGGAGGGGAGTAGATGCCGTGATGCTGCCCAAATCTGGGATCACCACTCATCCAGCGACCAGCCAGTCCACCTCTAGAGACCACCCTGGGCTGGAGACAGCCACCTCTGGCACACAGGTGCCCAGAGACCGGTCCACGCGGGGATAGGAAGGCCCAGCCCCTTCACCTCAGTTCTGGACTTCTCTGAAGGGCCGCCCCAGCTCCAGAGCTCCCCGGGGATGGCGCGGCTGCGGTCGTGACGCCCCCCGGCCCAATTCCTCCTTCTGCTTGGTCCTGCTTCGCTCACCCACTTGCGGGGGGGTTGAACCCGTGCGCAGGCAGATGAGTGAAGTGGGAACACACGTGACTGTGTATGTGAGCCTTCGTGTGAAGGCAGACGTGTGAACGCGTGTGAGCGGGATCGCGTGTGCATACACGCCTATGTGCGCACACGTGCGGAGGTCGTGTTCCCTGCAGCCCTGCAGAGCCCGGGGTGGGGGGGGGGGGCGGGGATGACACGTGGGCCCGCCTGGTTCCCCAGCTTCTCCCTCTCTCTCACTCGCTGGCCCGTGTGATGCACGCCTGCAGGAGGTGACGTCCGCTCTGTGAGTGTGGTGTCCACGAAGCCCCGTAGCATGGCCCGGGCAGATTCTGCCTGTCCTCCCCACTGCCTGACCAAAGAGCATCTCTTACCATGGGGAAGGCCCCCGTGGAAACCAAGGCTGAGTCTGGACAGAGGAGGGGAGGGACTCTGGGCTCCTGTGGTCCAGTCTCCCACTTGGACAACACTGAGGCCAACTGGCTTCTACTCGCTCCCCAGTGATGGAAGCTTAAGCTGTGGCCACCGCCCAAGCAGCCACAGAGGAACTCCCCTCCCCTCAGCAACCCCAAACCCGCCACCCCATCCCTTCTCCCCACTGGACTTGGCTCCTCCCTCCTCCCAGGTCCGGCCCCAGATGGCCCACGACAGCCCCGTTGTCCCTGCCCAGCTTCCTGTCCTGTCCCACGCTGCTTCCCCAATAGTTCCCCTGTAGTCCCCACACAAGGACATTAGGTCCTGCTGCCCCCTCCTGGACCTCCCTTCTGGACACTGTTTCTATAAAGTGCGGGGTCCAGATTTGAACCCACGGCGCCACAGAAGGGAACTCGCCCCACTCCCAGGGCCCCCGTTAAGCTAGGAACGGTCCACGGTTTTAGCAGCCACATCACATTGTCTGTGCTCACACTGACTTGAGGGGTCAGATACAAATGACCGGATCATTTCCAGTGGAATTTTGCCAAGCCGGCCCCATCCACCCACCCTGGGCTTGTTCCTTGGGACCATTGATTTTTTTTTTTTTTCCTCTGAAAGTACCAGATTTTACATTGATTACTGTTAAATTTCTTCTTGTTGATTTTGGCCCAGCATCCCGCCTGGGAAGAGAGCTTTGGATCATAAATCAGCCGTATCAGAATAACTTGTGCTTTCGAGGTTTGGATGAACACATCTTTTGCGTCTTCATCCAAGTCTTTGGCAAAATTACTAGACAGGTTTGAGCTGGGCAATGTGCTCTGTGTCCTACGGTCTGCCATCCGGTCATCCTGTGAAAGGGGGGCAATGTTTAACTAGGGGACACCTGACTTTGATGAGGCCCGTTTGGCCCTTGGATCACGCCATGTTCTTTTCCAGATGCTCTGGACTTTCTGTCTAGTCAACCAGTCTAAACCTTTTTTGTGGTGATCAGAATCCACCCTTCTACCTTCCCTGCTTTTTGGTAAACCAAGGAACTTGTCCCCTCTGCAGTCTCCTTGCGATTGTTCTCTTCTGCCTGAGCCTTGGACCCTCCACAGGATCTTGGAAGTCTTTGCTATATGGAGTGACCATATGATTTTCAGCCAAAGGAGATAACTTTGAGAGTGTATCAGTGATCAAGTGCTGGGTAACAAATTGCCCTAAAACGTAAGACCACAAGTAATTGGCATCTCACAGTTTCTGCAGGTGAGACGTTGGGGAGTGGCTTAGCCGGGAGGGTCTGGGTTAGGGTCTCTCCGGAAGTTGCATCCAAGATGTTGGCCAGGCTGCTGTCATCTGAAGGCTTGGCTGGGCTGGAGGATGCATTTCCAAGATGGCTGACGTGGCTGTTGGTAGGAAGCCTCAGTTTCTTACCACGTGGGCCTCTGTAGGAGTGTTTGACTTTCCTTACGATGTGGCAGCAGACTTTCGCCAGTATGAGTGATCCAAGAAAGTGCAAGGAAGAGGCCGCGATATCTTTATGACATAGTCCTAAAAGTGACATCTTGCCACTTCCGCCATATTTTATTCGCTAGAAACCAGTCGTTAGGTCTTACCCACGCTCAGAGAGAGGAGAATTAGGCCTCGCATTTTGAAGGCAAGAGTATCCAAAAAAGGAGCGCTGACATATTTTTAAATCACCACATGGGTGAAGGGAGGTGTTTGATAATTACGCCAGAATGATGGGTTTGAACCAGGACTGTCCTGCACAAAGCATATTTGGTCACCCGACTCCTTCACAGTCTCTCAGATGTTTGGACCATGAGCTACAGTTAAGAATCAATTATGACCTGGGGTGCCTGGGTGACTCAGTCGGTTGAACGTGCGGCTTTGGCTCAGGTTGTGATCTCACAGTTGATGAGTTCGAGCCCCGCGTCGGGCTCTGTGCTGACTGCTCGGAGCCTGGAGCCCGCTTCGGATTCTGTGTCTCCCTCTCTCTCTGCCCCTCCCTCGCTCATGCTCTGTCTCTCTCTGTCTCAGAAATAAATAAACATTAAAAAAAATTTTTTTTAAATCAATTATGACCTTCTTCACATATGCATATGTAACTGAAACAAAAGTTCACGGAACGGCATTTAACCTTACCATCTACATTTGCAGGGGAGGAAACAGTTCTCCTTGACCCTCTTAGGGTCCCTGCCTGGATCTGAAAATTAAATTGACAAAGATAGATGAACAGGAGAAGACCATGCAAACTTATTTAATGTAAGTTTTCTGTGACACAGGAGCCTCCACAAGGAAGTGAAGTCCCAGAGGAACGGACCCGTGTATGTTTGCATGACGTTTGATGAGGAGCGGACAGCTGTGGAGGAACGTGATACCGTGAGGTACGTGTTGTAAACTGCGGGCATCCAGAGAAGGCTGTTTGTTAGCGTTCTTCTGGGTGATTCCCTGGTCTTCAGAGAGAAGGACGTTCCTGTCCTCCAGGTGTAAAGAGGGCGCCACTCACATGATCTGCTTCACGAAAGAAGGGTGGAGGGGCCGGTCTCCGACTTAGCCTTCTGACCTGCCGTCCTCTCAGACTCCTTCAGTGTAAAATACTCAGTATGCCAAGGTGCCATACTTTGGGGGGAGTGGGTCTTAGACCCCGTCTGAGGAAACAAACCAGTATCCTGGGGTGTGCTTTCTGTGGGCACTGAAGCTGCTAAGCCTCTCCATTTATTTTGGAGCTCTCCATGGGTCTGACCCAAGCTTCGGAACCTACTTTTCTTATCTTTCCTACCCCCTCCTTCCTCGACACACACACACTCTCAACCTTTAGCTCTTTGGAGTCATAGAATTATGAAATGTCAGACTATGAAAGAGGCTCTGGGCCCGAAACGACACACACCTTCCTGACGATGCTCAAGACAGACGTTACCAATGCATCATGGTAATGTCCCATGAAGCTCAGTGTCTACCTCAGAATCCTTCCCAGCCCAGCATTCCAGGTATCCAGTTTTTTTGTGAGACAAAGTCTAGTTTACAGATGCTTTCTTTGAAGCTTTAAAAGTCAACTCTGAACCCCAGAGAAAGGAAGTCGCTCTTCCAAGGTCACACGGCCGGTTGGTGACTAGGGGAAGATGGGCAACAGGCTCTCCTGCCCGGGCCTTTGCTCTCTCTCTCTCTCCTGAGCCAGGGTTTCCGAGACTTTGCCCATTTATTCACTGTCTTCTCGGACCTCGTTCTCTTGACCGGCGATCTCTCGCCATCTCGTTCTTCATCCACCGCCCACGGACTACCAGGTGATTTACAAGACCCCAGACCCTTCTCAGACAGAATCTTAGCGAGTGGCTGATCCACACGGAGCCACGGCCAAGAGAAGCAGCTTTGTTTGGGATGCGATCCACATCGGGAAAGAATGCACTCATCCTGTGGTCCAGATCTCTCCCCAACGGCTGGAATCGAGGGCCCGGAGTCCCCGCGGCCATCCATTACCACTGAGACGGCCCAGGCTGGGGGCCCGTGTTGTTTTATATGACGGCTTATCCTGCCGTGAGCCGTTCTGTGCCCCTCGCTGGCTGCTCACCTTCTGGTGCAGGCATCGGCTCAGCGATGAAGAAATGCACAAGCCCGTGGGCCATCACCGGCAAATGTCCGGTTTTGATGCTGCCTGGAGGGTGCGGTTTCTGGGGCAGTCCAGGGTACCCCAGGTGCACCAAGGGATGACGGGGAACCCACAGGAAGGGACACCTGATAAGCCAGGAGAAGGTTCAGAAGGATGGAAAGGTTGCTCTGTAGCGAGGGAACGGCAGCAACGAACGCACAGAGGCGTAAGGGAGCGGTGAGTTTAGGAGCAATACAGACATTTCCGATTGTTGGAGGTATGCTGTGAGGCTGGGGCAAGTGGCAGGTGACGGAGTGGAGAGAGAGAAAAAGGAAACAAGCAAGCGAGCAAAAAGTATCCGTAACATGCCACACGGTAATAGGAGCAAAGGCAAAAGTCAAGCAGAGGTGGGGACAGAGCTGGGGATGCTGTAGGTAGGTGGGTGGTCAGGGAGGGCTTCTCTGAGGAAGGGACATTTGAGCCGCCGCGTGAGCTGTGCAAGGGTCCTCTCCCACCTGATCTTATCTGGTCCTCATGACCGCGTGAAAGGAAGGCCACAGACAAGGACCCTACCGCCCCAGGGCTGGGCCTGGGCTGGGGAGTGAGTTTGAGGCAGAGCGGGGCCCAGGATCCGGCGCTCCAGACACCCAAGGCAGGGGTCCTTTGAGCTCAGAGTGGCCTCCTCCGCCAAATGTGGGCTTTGGCCCAGCCCAGGACCTCTCCTCGGTCTCTGCAACCTTGTCACCCACGACCCTACCCGGCAGCAAGATGAGGTTAAGACGGGCTCTGACATCAGACAGGTGCAGCTCTAATTCCAGTCTCTCCTATTAGCTGCTTCATCTGGAGCAAGGAAGCCTCAGTGTCTTCCCCCATGAAAGGGGGTAATCGAGCATCTTTCTCGTGGAACACCGGACGGTGCAAGCAAAGCCCTTAGCACCGCGCCCGGCACACGTAGACGGGGCTTATGGAACGCGAGTTACCGGCCATCTTGGCGCACAGGGCCCCCCGCCTCCTCGAGCCATCTGAGTGATGACCACACGGCCGCTGCCCTCGGCTGGGCCGTGGCGGGCTTGGCTCGGTGTGACAGGGCGGGCTGTTGTAGAGTGACCCGGCCCCCTTGTCTCGAAGTGGGACCCGCTGTGTCCCTTCTATGCCCTGTCACATCTGATGCACCCTCCTCGCCTTCCCTTCTGTTTGCCCGGTGCTTCCTGCTTTCAGACCTGCTCACTTTGCTCCCTAATATGCATCGCTGACAGACATTATGTTTATTTCCTTGTTCCCTTACGGCCGTCTCCCCTGACAGAAGTTGGACACCCCGATGACGGAGATTCGGGGCGCTCTGTGTGCAGCTGCCGGTCTGGCGCCCAGAACGTGACCGACTCCCAGTAGGTCCTGGAAACATGTTGGTTGAACGGGTGGATGAAGAAATGGAACAAATGTGCCGTGGATGTCCGTGGCCACGGGCCATCTCCCCAGACAGCCTGTGTTATTTTCTTTCAGGCCACGGCTGCAGAAGGTCAAGGGTCTGGTCCATTTCCTTAGCCATCCTGACCTTGGCCCGAAGGCACTTGGCCCTGGGCATGGGAGGGCCTCCTTCCATGCACCCGTGTTCCCTCCAGGCCGGCGCAAGGGGGACCCTGTCTTTCTTCCTAGCTCTCAGGTCAGGTCCATGAGGAGACAACAGGAGGGGAAGACAGATAAGCCTATGAGGCCTCTGGGGACCCAGAAGGGCCCACGTCTGCACCTGTCACCCCTACTGCACGGCCCTGCTCCTCACTCTATCACCACTTCAGTCTCCGTTAGGAAGCTGGCAGTGGAGTCCGAATCCCCAGGGGTTTGGACTCGTGGGCGCCACGTGCAGCGATGATCCCGCCAGCCTCAAAATCAGGCCCATGGAGCCCCACCCGCGGGTGCAGGAGGCGGGGAGAGTGGGACAGGGGGCAATATGGGCCGGTGCGACTCAGTCTAGGGGCCGCAGCCCAAACAGCAGCTGTTTCCGTGATTCAGCAAAGAGCCGGGTGGGGGTGCTGACGGCTGGGGTGGGCCGGGACTGGAGCTGAGTGAGAGGAGTCAGGGAAGGGGGGGGGGGGACACGGGTCACCCTGCACGCAGGCCCGCAGCCACTACTTTTGGGTCCTGCCCCCGCATCACCTTAGCCCCGTGGGCCTGCCTTCACCCCCGTGGCCTGTTGCCACATGTAGGTTTCACTGTTACCCAGGTATGGTGAGGCCAGCAGATCCATAGTCTGCCGCCCACAGATCCCAAGAGGAGGGGACCGTCACATCATGGGGAGCCACGCAAGGAAGGAGCAGGCGGGTCAGGACGCAGCGCGAGTGGGAGGGAAGCGTAGGGGCAAGACCCTGTATTGTGGTTTCCGCAGGGAAGAGTGGGTGGGCAGGTAAGCAGGTGAGTTTGAGTAATTTCATTGGGCTCTGGGGCCCAGGAACTGTCGCTAGTTGTCTGGTATCTGGCCCCAGGGTGATCAGGGCAGGTGGGTAGCGGCCCAGATATGAGGGAAAAATGAGGTGGTTGTAATAGGTCTCTGTTTGGGTTGCCCCTAACAGGCACACTCACAGGCCAGTGGTTTGCGCTCTCAAGGAACTGGCCAGCCCGGGGCGGGGTCGTCCCTCCAGGGTCACAAAGGCCCCAGATGTCAGAGCATCAGAAACGCATGGGTGATCCACACCCCCTACCCCATTCGCCAGGGGTGATGCCTGGGGGCGGCACTCAGGCCACGGTTGAGCCCCAGCACCGGTCTGATGACTGGGGGGAGGGGGGGGCTCTTGGCAAATGGTGGATGAGGGGCCACCATGGACCAGGCACGGTGCCGGGCACTGGGGGACAGAACAGTGAACAAGAAGGCAAGATCTCTCCTCTCAAGGATTTCATGCCCTGGAGGCACGGCGGACCCCAAACCAGTAAACAAACAGATAAACGAGGGGGCCTCGGTTACTGGGAAGTGTGATGGCGAAATAGAACGCCAAGATGTTACGGCCTCCGGGCAGGATGGAAGGAGAGGGGCTCCATCGGGAAGGGCGGTCAGCGTAGCCTCTGGGAGGAGGTGACCGTTGGGCTGAGACCTGAATCTTGACAAGGAGCCACGCAAAGATTTGGGGGCAGAATATTTTAGTGGGGGGAAGACGCGAAGGAACGAATAAATGAAAGACCAAATCCGTTTCTCGGTCTGGATTGCCCACCTCCTTACAGCTGGCGGCAGGGTATTTTGAGGCCTGAATGACATCCGGGTCAGAATCTCACATATTCACATCGCTTCTATCACGGTCTCCGTCACGAAGGGAGACATTCCACAGGGTGACCTGGGCCCTGTGAGCAGGCCTCGGGTCAAGACACCCTTTTAACCATCCACGTTCTCTGACCCCCTGCTTCCAGGCAGACAGGCTGTAAGTAGTTGTAACGGGCGTCTCTCCCGCGCTGGGGGCTGGAGCAGACACCTTGAGACGCTCGTCTCGCTGGCTCGCAAGGCTGTCATGGCAGCCGCGTGCACCCCCCTGCAGGCTGGGGGCCCCGCACACCGCATCTGTCCCAGCCACGTGGGTCCCTGCTCCCCCCTGGGGAGGCCCCTGCCGCCAGGCTGGGTTCCAGAGGGGATTCACCACCGGCCCAGGAAAGCGGATCATGTCCAAAGATCGGGTGTGAGAGGAGGTTGGGAAAGGCAGGAAATCAACCTTCCCTGAGCGCCTACTTTCTGCTCGGGGAAAGGGAGTGACTTCCCCAAGGTCCGGCCATCTCCGTTTCATTCATTCATCCACTGGTCCAGGTTTCAAATATTTCTTGGATCCCCTAGGGGGTGGGCAAAACACGGATTTCAGAGCCCAGACACCCCCGGTCCAGAGCCTTTCCTTCCATTTCCTAGGAAGGGGGCCTAAGGCAAACTTGTCTGCCTCAGTTTCCTTATTAGTAAACCAAAAGATAACGGCACCGGCGCCTGATGAGGCTCCCCGAAGCATCAGCAGGAATGCCTATGGGTCACCCCGGCCCACAGGTGGTCCTCACTCACGTCCGGCACTGGCTTAGGGATTGCGGACCGACGGACAGGACGCCACAAGCCTGGCCTTCAAAATGCTCAAAGACTGGGGCGCCTGGGCGGCTCAGTCAGTGAGGCGTCCAACTCTTGATTTCGGCTCCGGTCATGATCTCGCTGTTCGTGAGATCAAGCCCCATGTGGGGCTCCGGGCTGACGGTGTGGAGCCTGCTCGGGATTCTCCTGTCGCCCTCTCTCTCTGCCCCTCCCCCTCTTGGGTGCTCACCATGCACGCACGTGCTTACACGCCCTCTGTCTCGCAAAGTAAAGAAATAAGCATGAAAAAAAAAATGTTTTAATGCTCAGAGACTAATGAGGGACAGACATGTCACAGCGGCTCATGCCAGTAGGCAAGGTTGGAGTGGGTGCCACAGAAAAGCGTGAGGGGCGTGTTACGGGTGGTTGCGTTTGGGTGCAGTGAGGGGGAGTTTTCAAGGAACATATGGCACCTGAGTCTCATGAGAGGGAGAGGAGAGGGTACATCCAGGTGGAGGGGATAGCCTCAGCAAGGCTTGGAGAGAGACCTAAAGGCTGTTCGGGGACAGTGGGGACAGAGTAGATCAATGTCGCTTGGGCCAGGGGACCAAGGGAGGGATTGGCAAGGTGTGGTTGGCGGATTAAGCTGAATGGCTTTGACTGTGACAGTAACGAACTTGAACTTCATCCTCCGGGCAGAACTGGAACTTCCCTCTGGGGAAGGCCATAACATACCCTGGCGGGGTCTTAGGGAGAGATTTTCTGGGACCTTGTGGAGAATGAATTAGCAGGGCTGAGACCGGGGGCAGAGAGCAGCTCTGAGGTCCTGCAAGTCCAGCCGCGAGATGGAGAACAGACGGATCTGGATGAAAAGGAGACCGATCTATCGAGCACTTACCATGTTCCGGACACGCCCCGTACATTTGCTCACTCGCCTCTCAACAGTGCTCTGAGTGGGTGCTCTCGTTCCCATTTTACAGATGAGAACACTGAGGTACAAGGAGGTTAAGTGACTTGCTCAGGGTCACGCAGCCAGCGACGTGGAGCCCTGGGATTCTGATTCTGGTCCATCTGAATCCAAAGCCCTGATACTTCCCAGACCCAGATGCCCACGGGGAGAGAAGGCCCAAAGGTGAAGAGATGCACGCAGTGGAAACTTAGCAGATCCCGACAGCTTCTTTCTTCGTCAGCCTCCCTGAGCTGGGCATCTTCCACTGGCTCCTCCAGACCCTCAACCCACCCCCCTCTTTCTCCCCCTACTCCGTGTCCTGGGAGGCTGGTGGCATGGGAGGCGTCCACAGGCTCCCTGGTCCTCACCCATTAGCTTCTGGCTGGGTTCCATCAACGGGGCAGGAGAGCCGAGGGAAGGAGGAGAGTGAGTGGGCTTGCTGCTTCCCCCTCCGATGGGCTCTGTCCCCCCACTGACGCCCCAGCTCCTCCAGGTGGCCCTCTCCACACAGCGCGCTGCCCCATCGGGCAGCTCCTCTCTCTCCTGCCCTTTCAAGCCTGGGGGTGGTGACAGTCACTCCTGCTTTTCATACGGGTCCGTCTGTGACGTTGGCCCTCGGGAGAGAGGGCAGCAGACAGCAGCTTCTAATGCTGGTCCCTGACGTCATGGGGGTGGCTGAGCTTGCCAGGGAGTGTGCAGGGCATGACGCTCAGGGACCAAGCTGGGAAGGAGGGGGGGACGCTGACATTTAGTCCCCAGAGGGTGGGAGCCAATCAGACAGCTGGGGCTGGGTGGGGCTGGAGCCTCCCTTGCTGGTAATTGTTACTGCGATCCCCACTCCCTTTGGCAGAGGGAGAGGGGCTGTGCCAGGAGGTCTGTCATCTGGGAGACCGCCCTTGGCCCCTCTGGAGGGGAAGCCCACCAGTTCTGCCCTGCCCCCCGCCCCCTGCCCCCTGGGACTTTTCAGCCCAGCTTTTGGCGGCTGGCTCGGGGTTCTCAGAGGGCTTATGAGGGCACGTGGGGCTACCTTCAGGGTTACCGGGGGAGTCTCTGTCTGGGAACGGGGTGACCTTTTTTTTTGAAAAGCCTGTTCATCCCCAGGGCCCTGGTTGGCTGAGCCTTCTGGAGCCAGCCCCGGTGAGGGGGGCCTTTCCAAGAATCAGGATCCCATCTGCCCCCTTTCCCCCGCCCTCCCTCCACCTACCCGCCTGCCCTCTGGCCTGTGTCAAGCTCCAGAAAGGCACTGCCGTCCCCAGCAGCCAGCTAGCTGGGCGGGGGGGGGGGGGGGGGATATGCCTAGTGGCAGGGGAAGAGGAGGGATGGAACCAATCACATATGTCTAAGGCCAGAGGGGGAAGAAAGATAGTTACAAAAATCCACCTGTGAACAAAGGTAGGTCCATTTAGAGCCACAAGGCGTGAGAGCTAGGAAGGGTCTTCCAGAACCCCACCTTGCTGCACAGACGAGGACACTGGGGTCTAGAGAGGGGACGCTGCTCAAAGGCCTTGAAGACTGGCCTGGCTCAGCCTGGCACTCGTAGCCACCACCCATGTCCCTGCGGCTCTCACCTGTCAGACTCCACACCCCAGGACCAAGAATACTTTTCCATGCGTCGGCATCCATGTGCCTGCAAAGGGTCCTGATCCAGATTTCTACCCCACCTTTGTGCCCCTCCTCCACGGTGGAAGCAGCTGGCTGGCCCCACGGCGGGGGCTGCCTGGGTGTGAGACGACCGTGTTTTCACAGGGCGGAAATTAGATCTGCTTCTCGGGGAGAAGTGTTGGGAGCTGAAATGCCAGCCAGTTGGGTGTGGCGGGGCCTCCTCGTTCTGTGCTCCGCAGAAGCCAGCCACATGGAGGGAGGGACAGGGAGGATGGGCCGCCACCGGGCAGGGCCATAGGAAGGGGTCAGGGACAATGTGCAGGTGGAGAATGGAGGTTTTAAGAACAGAGGGCTCGCCCAGGGGCAGGCAGCGAAAACAACACCCCATACTTAGACCTCACCTCCTCTACAGCCTCCTTTCCCAGCCCGGGCTTACCCCTTGACTCCACACTCGAGCCCTGGAGGGCAAAAGGACCCGAGCCAGCAGTGGCCAAGATGGGCCTCTCCCTACTTGAACATTCTAGTTGGGGTCTTCCAGCCACGACAGATTGGATTATGACTCAGCAAGTACTTATCACCCTCCTCGGCCGCCGAGCATAGTGTATACCCCCCTGCACGCTGAAGTTGGGCTTGTCCGTGTCACTGGCTTTGACGAGAAGTATCAGAAGATGTGGCAGAGCAGAGGCTTGACATGTTGACATGTGCTTATGTGGACTGAGCTGCTCCCTTGCATGCCGGTGCTGTCTGTACAAAGAGGTTCCCCTGGGCAGCTGTCGCCCGTCAGCCGGAGTCGTAGAATGAACGTGTGTGGAGGGACCCGAGCCCGCCTCGCAGTCTGAAAGAGAGTGCCCGGCTGAGCCCAGCCTAGATCGGGAGAACCGTGGTCAACCTGCAGGCCCACGCGTGTGAGAATTACTGCTCACTGCTGTCACTCACTGATTTGGGGGATGGTTTGTTTCGTAGCATTATTACGGTAATCGCTGACCGATACACAGGCCCAAAGCCGGAGCCAGAGAAGAGGCCAACGGCTGGGACGTGGAAGATCCGGGCTCTCCACGTCCCTCCCCTGCCACAGCCCTGAGAGAGCGGTGGATAGAGAGGATGCTCTGGATGTTCTGAGTCAGCTCAACGAGGAGTTGCATACCCCTGCGGGGAGGGCCCAGCGCCTCTGCTGGTACTTACTACATCTCTGTGAGGAAGCTGAGGCTCCTAGGGAGATCTCCCCAAGGCCCCGGAGCTAGAAAATGGCAGAGCTGAGGCCTGAACCAGGTCTCCCGGCTCCAGTTTCCAATCTACCAGTCAGCCCAACCCTGAGCCAGTTGAGCAGTGAGCCCCATGAGGACCAGAACCACTGGCCTGGCCAGCCACAGGCGAAAGAGGGAAGGCAGAGCTCCGCCCCCCCTGCCCTGGGTGCCGTGCCGTCAAGGCTTCGGGAGTGTCTCCCACTGCTCCAGAAGCTTCTGCTGCTGAGAAGATAAGGCTGGGTTCAAAGCCTGCTTGCCCTTGGGCAACTTTCTTAACCTCTCTGTGCCTCAGTTTGCCCATCTGTAAACAGGGGAAGACTAGAACAGTTCCTACTTAGCTCAGAGGGTGCTTGTGAGGATTGAATGAACTACAGTCCCTGCATTAAATGGACTACGTGTATAATCCCTTCACCTAATAAATGCGCCACGGGAATGTTTGTTAAATAGACGCTAAGTAGCTCCACCCACCTCAACCTGCTAAGACGCGGCTGAACACAGCTAATTTTGACTTGGGGAGAACTCACTCTGAATCAGACACTGTCCCAAATGTTTTTCGTGTGCATCAACCAAGTTAGTCCTCACCGAAGTCTTGGAAGAGATGTGGGCGCTATCCTTATCCCTCCCGTTTTGCAGATGGAGAAACTGAGGCACAGAACAGGTTCCTAATGGTCACACTCTGGAGCTCCAGCTGGGTGGAAGGCAGAGGTGCAGAGATCACCGGTCCCAGGCCTGGTGGCTCTGACCAGCTGTGTGGTTGGGGGCAAGGACCGCCTACCCCACGGGGTTGTCGTCAAGATTAAACGAGATCACGCGGGTGGCCTGCCTAGCATGACTGCCGACCTATGACAGGGCTCAGGAAGTAGGGAAAGTTATTTAAAAATGGGAAAAGGCGGGGCACCTGGGTGACTTCGTCTGTTAAGCGTCCGACTTCGGCTCCGGTCAGGGTCTTATGGGTTCGTGAGTTCGAGCCCCACGTCGGAGCCCCACATCAGGCTCGCTGCCGTCAGCACTGAGCCGGCCTCGGATCCTCCGTCCCCCTCTCTCGCTGCCCCTCCACTCCCCTCTCAAAAATAAAGCAACATCTAAAGAATTTGTAGCTGTAAACAACAAAATAAAAACCGGAAAAGGGACCGGGCAGACGTCCTAACACCAGAACAGCTCCGGGGCAGCCGGGACCCTGACGGCCTCCCTCAGCTCCACGGTGAGAATTTGGGGGGAAAACACCCTCCCCCTTCCCACCCCCGCTCAGAGCTCCGGGGACTCGTCACGGGGCAGGTCTCCTGGGAGTCAGCTGGCCCCCGGGTCCCACTTACAAGCTCTGCGTCCTTGGGCAATCCCTGCTGTCCCCAGGCGCGGTTTTCACATCTGTGCCGGGGGCAGCCACCACGCTTTGGTGAGGCGGGGGGGGGATGAGACCACTTAGCTCAGGTTCAGGAGGTCCGTGCCACGTGCTAGCCACTCATGCACGCCGGTCACACCCTCCTCTGTAGTGGGCCCTGTCGTTATCCGCATTTTACAGAGACGGAAACTGAGGCTCAGACAGGTCAGGGAAACTGAGTCAGCTCCCATGGCACCTGAGTGGTAGAAGACAGCTGTCAGCCCAGCAGGGCGACAGAGCCCTTGGCCTATGGCTTTGCTTCTAGGGATTTGTCTCCAGCTCCCTGGATTTAAAACCAAGGAAACATGGGTTGCGTCCTGACTTCATGGCCTGAGCTCAGAGGTCCCGGGCTGTTTGCGAAACGCAGGCCTGGGGTTCCAGACAGGCCGACACGATTCCCTGCCCGGGCCCACTGCCCAGTCTTCCCAGGACCCGGGCCACACACGGCGCGGCCAGGCCTTCCTGCCTCCGCCTTCCTCCTGGCTTGGCGGTGAACGTGACCTCTCCTTGGCCAGTTCCTTTGCGTTCCTGTCGCTCCGGTTGGCGACTCCTCGGGCCCAGGACAAATCGCTCCTTCGCTCTGCCTGCAGCCAGGAACACGCCGCTGCGCGAAACCCTTTTGCCCCCAAGGGGCTCCCCGTCTAGGCCTGTGGCTCCAGTGGGAGGCTGGCCCAGCCCAAGTCATCTCTCTGGGGCCGGAAGGGCTGCTGGGATCAGCCGGTCCACCTCCCCCTTGTCACAGAGCAGGAGAGAGAAATGCAGACGCGGGCAGGAATCCGTCCAAATACACTTGCGCTTAAAACAGGGTCAGCGCAACCTTGAAAACAGCCACCGCTTGAGTCTCAGGATGTGCAAAGAGCTGCACCCGTTGCTTATCTTTTCATCCAGTGCTCAGTCCCGCTCGGCAAGGTGGGTGCTATTGTTGCCATTTCCAGAGGGAACTGAGGCACAGAGAGGTTAAGCTGTTTACCTGAGACCACACAGAAAGCGATGGTCTAGGGATTTTTTTTTTTTTAATTTTAATGTTTATTTTTGAGAGAGACAGAGACAGAATGCGAGTGGGTTAGGGGCAGAGAGAGAGGCAGACACAGAATCCGAAGCAGGCTCCAGGCTCTGAGCCGTCAGCACGGAGCCCGACGAGGGGCTCGAACTCACGAGCTGTGAGATTGTGACCTGAGCCGAAGTCGGATGGGGGGGTGGGGGGGGTGGGTAGGACGGTCTGCTTATCAATCTGGGCTGCTTCTCTGGTGCTCCAGCCCTGACCCGATCTTTTTTCCAGAAGGGTTCACAACCATGTCAAGCTGCCAGTGATAACAGAGAGAAAGGTGCCCTCCCCGGCCCCTGTCTCCTCCCTGCCTCCCCCTCCCCTCCCCTGTTCTTCTTACACTAGGGTCACACTGGTCCTTCCTCATCCACCCCTCCAGATGCTTCCTTGCCTCATCCCCACCTGTCAGAACCCTGCCTACGTGCAGGTAGAGGAAGTTCAAATCCCTCCGCACCTCGTATGAGCTGTGTGATGTTGAG